GGAAAGGAAAGGAAAGGAAAGGAAAGGGAAGGAAAGGAAAAGAAAGGAAAGGAAAGGAAAGGAAAAGAGAGGAGAGGAGAGGAAAAGAAAAGAAAAGAAGAGAGAAAAGGAGAAGAGAATAATGATAAATATAAAAAGGAGGCCAAGAGGAAGAGGGATGTGATTGAGGAAGGGCTAATAAAGAATTTCTAAGATACTGGCAACATTATGTTTCATAATCTGATTAGTGAGTAATGGCGTTCAGTTTATATATTTTTTTGAAAATTTACATTTATGTTTTATAGATGCATTTGTATATCTCTCTATATAAAAGGCTAACATGCAAAGTGTCCCTTGGGAGTTGGACACAGAGACTGGGAGTTTGATCGTTCACTATGACGTGTGCTGACCACCAGGTGGTGGCACGGAATGAAGAAAGGCACCAGCTAGCAACTGGTGAAGAAATGTTCCGGCGGGCAGCCGGAAGGCCCTGTTTGGCAATGATCACTGGCCAGGCCTAAGGACCCTACCAGTGCACATATTTCATGCACTGGACCTCCAGTACAATAATAAAAGTAATGGACTTCTAGTCAAGATGGTGACATAGGTAAATGTGGTACCCAATGCTCCCATAAACACTTCAAAATTATAACTGAACTGCCGAAACCGGTTTGGCTCAGTGGATAGAGCGTTGGCCTACGGACTGAAAGGTCCCAGGTTCAATTCCGGTCATGGGCATGTACCTGGGTTGCGGGCACATCCCCAGTGGGAGATGTGCAGGAGGCAGGGGATAGATGTTTCTCTCTCATCGATGTTTCTAACTCTCTATCTCTCTCCCTTCCTCTCTGTAAAAAATCAATAAAATATATTTTTAAAAAAATTATAACTGAACTAAAATTACAGAAAAACCATCATTAAGAACTATCTGAAATCTAGCTAACTGGAAGTCCTATAACTAAGGAATTTTAGAAGAAGCCTCATGGAGACTGGTAGGAGGGGCGGAGACACAGAACACATGTGTGGTGGATAAAAATCAGGAGGCATATCTTGGTTGTGAAGCCCCCCTTTGAGGAGTGAAGAATTCATAGCACCACATCAGGACTCTGAAAACAGAGTTCCAGTACCAGGGAGAGAAGTCCCCACAACTTCTGGCTGTAAAAACTTGTGGGGATTGTGGCTGCTGAGACCATCTGGGCACAGGTCACATTTTAAATGTATATGTGGCTATGGTATTGGACAGCACAGAATACAGAACATTTCCATCATCACAGACAGTTGTATTGGACAGTATTGACCTAAGTAGATCAGGGCTGTGTA